GCACTCAAATGTTGGTGAAATTTGAATAGCTTTGCAGTTTTTAAGTATCTGTCCAATGGCGGTGGAGATATGGGAAAAGACGAAAAAAATTGCCCTAACTTTGCTTTTTGACGCTTCAAAGGTCAAAGTTTCCAATTGTGAATTAGTTTTTTCAAATAAAAAATTCCATGTGCCTGAAAAAAATGTGGGTACTATATTTTTGGAACAACCCTCATGATACCATAAATGGTGAATGTGATACATATAGTTAGCTTTGCGCATCCACCATTTTTTAAAGTACCAGCCGTATAGCTCTAGAGTGACATTCTCAAATAAGGTGGATGTTGGATACCCACAGTTGGGCAATATTACTTCCTCTATTTTCTATAATATACCTCATTGAATTTTGAAAGTTTTGACAATCTAAAAAAATTGAATGTTGGTATTTTTGAAAAATTTGAATATTTAGAAACTGCAAAAAATTTGTAAAATATTGGGAAATTTCGAATATTTTCCAAATAAAACAAAAAACTAAAGTTGACAATATTTTAAAACCTCATAATGTAGTTCCTAAGAGTGCCAGTGGAATAAATTATATCAGTTTTTTGATATTTTTTAAAATAAAGTTAGAAAAAAATTAAAAAGATTTTGCCAAATTTAAGTTTCTCTCAAATACCTAAGCTATGAAACTTTGATAGGTTTCTCAACGGCATGTAAATACACCTCAAAGAATTCCCAAGAATATAATCTCAATACCTGTTTTAACACCACACTTAATCGATCTAGCATGAATATTTTTAAAATACAACTCAGTGAATACTTCATTTAAAATCTCCTGAAAACAGCAAAGTGGCGTTTAAAATAAACCGGCTAATGCTAGAAAACTTCGAGGTAATATCTCAATTTTCCGATCGAATCCGTATTACTGTGGAGATGCAGCAAAGAAAAAAGGAATGCTAGAATAGCTGGATCGCTACCAGACTGATGCTCAGGAATCCTTTATTGACGTTCATAGAACTTGTGCGGCATCCAATAAACTTTGAGAGTCAAGATGAATGAAACCGTCTATCGGTTAGGTATGCCGAAGCCACCTCATGTGAAATATGCTATGGAATACATAACAATGAGGTATTTTATAGAGGACGTAATATTGCTCAATGTTGGATATTCTAGATTTGCATTTTGTGAGAACGTCATGTTAGAGCTAGAGGCACGTCATATGAGCGAACTGGCAACACCAAGGTCATTCTCTCCAGGCACAAAACACATAAATCTCCAGGCAAGATCTAGGACACTTTCTTACTAACAGAGTTCGATTTTTGACAAACGACAGTTTGACTTTCCCTGGGAACTTCCATTTAGTTTTCAGTCTGTGTTCTGATTCGGATAAGCAAGACATTAAATTTTTAATTATTGATTTAATCCCCAATCGAGAAATTATCGTTTATAATCTTCATATAATAATAGTACTAATACACTTTGTCATATATTTTTCAATGTAAAACACTTGTGATTGTGTGCAGGAATACTTAAGATTGCATAATTCAATAGTCTTGTTTTTCGTTTGCAAATCAGTCATGTCTGGATTTGGAGTTGAGAATTCGTACATCACTACTTTAAAGTACTTATGCAAATATCCTTCTTGTAAAAATTCCTATTTCCACATTGTTCGCAAAATGCTTGTATATACAAAAATAATAATAATAATAATATTTATTCACTCAATGTACAAAGATAACAAAAAATATGAGTAAATAAATATAAAATCAAAACAGGCCCAATAGAAGACATCGCCTGTACATGGACCAATAAATTTAAGTTGAAACTGTAGAATGCAAATGACAAAAAGGACAAAAATTAGCTACAGTAGATTATGTATTTAGTTGATGTTCGTATTTATGAGTTTATGAATTTCAGTCCTAGATATAGAATGTAGCCACTTTTTTAAATTTCTTTTGAAACAATTTCCGAAACGTAAATCTTTTAAGTCTTTAGGTATAATTTCATAAAATTTAGGCGCTAAATAGAGATATGATCGCTGCATTATAGATTTATGCGGTTGAGGAACTACTGTGCCACGAATTTTGTACCTGGTATAATGATTATGTTTAATTTTTTGGTCGGTGCTTACAAATTTATGGTAGTGAGTGATACTGTGTAAGAAATAAAGCTGTCTTATATCATACATTCGAACATCTGCGTATAATTTTTCAGTGGGATAAAGTTTCGGTTTTTTAAATATCATTTTTAGAATACTTTTTTGAAAAACACCTAAATTATAGATATGTGAGGAACATGCAGCTCCCCATGCTAATATACCATATGTGAGATGAGGCTCAATCAGTGCATGGTATAATGTTCGAAGATATTTTTCTGTCAATATATTCCCAAGGTATTTAATTTTGTAGGATACAAATCTAACTTTCTTTAAAATATAATTGACATGGATGTCCCATCATAAGTGAGGATCCAAGACCACTCCAAGGTATTTTATGTTGGGCACTCTATTAATTTGCATTTTTTGATCATTAATATTGAAGGAGAAATTTGTGTAATTTGGCAGATGTCTAGCATAAGATCCAAATGGTAAAAAATGTGTTTTAGAGTAGTTAATGCTTAATTTTCTACTGTTAAACCACCGAATAATTTTGATAAAATCATTTTCAATTACATTTTTCAGATCAGACCAGTCAGTGCCTTCATATAATATTGCAGTATCATCTGCAAAACTAGTTATTTTGCCAACACAATTAATTTGGAAAATATCATTTAAATATATATTGAATAACAGCGGACCTAAGACAGTTCCTTGTGGGACACCACACTTAATATACATTTCTTTACTGAATGATCCTGATATCTGCACAGATTGTGGGCGATTTGACAAATAACTTTCGATCAGTGAGTACGCGTTTCCTCTGAAACGAATTCTCTCCAATGCTTCTAATAATAATTTGTGATTAACTGTGTCGAAAGCTTTCTTTAAATCAACAAAAATGCAGATTGAAGGGATTCTGTTATCAATATTTTGATGTATTTGATTTACAATTTTAGTTATTGCGTCCGATGTAGCCTTCCCTTCTGTAAATCCGTATTGATTTTCACTTAAAATTTTGAATTTTGTGAGGTATCGAATCATTCTAGTAGATAAAACTTTTTCAAAAACCTTTGCTACACTGGATATTATTGATATTGGTCCATAGTTGTTATCATCTGTTTTTGTTCCTGATTTATGTATCGGTATTATATTACCTTTTTTTAAAATTGAGGGATATATGCCAGATTCAAAGCATTTGTTGATTAGGTAAGTGAGTGGTTCTGTTATGTCCTCGGCTATAATTTTCAAATGCTCGCTTTTAATACCATCGAACCCAGGACTTTTCCGATTTTTTAAGGACATAACAGTGGTGTATACTTCACATTGCTCGACTTTATCCAAAATAAATGAGTTCCAAGTTCTTTTTGGAGGCTGAGTATTTTGTACATTTGCTTGTATATTACTTGCTAAATTTTCGCCTATGTCAGTAAAGAATTGTACAAATTCATCGTATATCTGTTGAGTATGTTTTAATACTGTTCCCGATGTTGTATTTAACTCGGTGACACACTCTTTAACTTTTGTTTTCCCAGTAATCTCATCAATAGTTGTCCAAAGCCGCTTAGGATCATTTAAGTTATTATTCAATTTATTTAGGTAATGTTTTCGTTTGGTTTGCCTTACAAGTTCTATAAATTTATTTTTATATTGGTTGTAGCAGTCGGTATTCTCTGTAGTTGGCGTTAGTTTCATTACATTATATAGTCTTTCTTTTTCTATTGCCGATGTTATTAATCCTTTGGTAATCCAGGCATTTCTGCTTTTCTCTTTGTGACTAATTATTACTTTATTGGTACTAATATCTATTAGTTTTTTATTTTCTCTATGAACAGTCCCGTTGCTTTGTCTATATTATTTATAGAGTATAATTGTTCCCAGGATTCTTGTTTGACATTTGATATTAGTTTTGAATTGTCGACAAAAAATTTGTAATTTTCCTGGTTGTTATTAACGGTAGGGATGTTAGAATGTTTTTCATTTGAAGATATCAGTAAAATAGTGGAGAAGTGGTCAGTAATATCGCTTTCTAGGATTATTGGTATACAAGTAATTTTGTTGGATAGGTCTTTCACAAAGCAGTGATCTATACATGTGCCACTGATGGACCTTGTAGGTAGGTTTATATAGGACAGAAATCCGTTACGTGATAGGATATTCAAGTATTCATTTGTGATGGGATCGTCATCATCATCATCCAAAATAAAGTATTTCATCGTTTTCCAAAGTATGAAAAAACTGTTGCTGCATGGAAGGCAGCTTGTAAGATATCTGCCACTCGTAAAGTTTCCAATTATTATGTTTGTGAAGATCATTTTGATCGTAATAGTCCGCAAAATCCTGCACGTCTCAGATATCTCACCATACCAGTGTCCCCCAATACAGTGTTAAATTCAAATAATAGTCATCCTACTGAGTATCTCGAGTTTTATTCTGCAGAGGCTACCACAAATCCAACCTCTTTTGAGCAAAATGAAAATTCCAGTGTTATTGTGGAAGATCAAAACATTGAAATCAGTGGAAGTGGTTCTAGAACAGAATCTAATTATTTAGATAAATATTATTTTTTGTTAGAGAAGCGCTCTGGCATATTAACAAAATCTGGTACATCAAAGAAGGAATTGAGTCCTAAGGAATTAATTATGTATAAAGTCCACCGGAATGTTTGCTCAAGGCTATCCAAATTAAAATCAATTTTCATTGTCGCTCGGCTTTACAAATCAAACTATTTCAAATTTGTTGAAGGCTGGCAAATAACAATCAGATCTGTTATGTCACTATGGAGGGATCTTAAGGAGAAGGGCTTAAAATATCTTTGTTTGAGAAATTTAAATCAAGATTGCCTGGAAAATTTATTTGGTCAAGTAAGACAGCATGGTATCTTCAACACAAATCTCACCTGTCATCAGTTGTTGCTGCCTTAAAAACAGTAGTTATTAATAATTTCAGCACACATTTTTCTATTGTGAAATCGATTTTTGTGATACTTTGGTCGATTTCAGTGACTTTTTGGATAAATATGACCAAAGTAATGAATGATACAGTGCTTGATTTAGACCCTGAGATTCTAAGGGACTGACATGGAAATAATGGACAGTTCTGTTGAATGGAATCCTTCAAATGGTTATGTGACTGGGTACATTTGGGATAGACTCAAAATTGATAGTAATTGTGAATCCTGTGCAAGGCTATTTTCTTTGGTTGTCACCGGAAAACATCTATTTGTGACGTTTAAAGAGCATGATGAGGAAAAGCGATTGAAGTACACAAGTGACGATTTAATTAACCTGATTGGTCCTCTGGATGAAAAGCTGTATGCATTTTTAGAGCAGCATGGTACAGAAGACCAACTGGAAGTAAAATTTAAATAGAAGCATTCCTGCATCCTTCAAAATTACAGCTTTTGTCAGCAGCATGATGTGGCAAAAGGTATAATTGACAAAACTGCTCGGTTGGGAATTTACAAATATGTAAAGAGAAATTCTTTGAAAAGGAGTGGTGAGACTACTAATAGTCATATATCAACAAGTAAGAAATTTTTATGTAGTCCAGCACTCTTCATTCATTGAATTTTCTATTTACTTTCAGTAACCAAATACTGTGATATTATACCTAAACAATATTTTTGTTTCATAGTTGCAGCCTCCTTGGGAGGGAACAGGTGAACGAAGAATAATTATTTATTTTGTTACTCGCTGTAATGTTAAAGCCATCAGGAGCTTTTGGTTTTAAGTATGAGGAATGTCTTGTTTATTTTTAACTTTGATTCCTCCATGAAGAAAATTTTCCTCATTTTTACACTATAAAAAATAGTGTTTCTTTTTTCAGATTATATTTTTGTCAGTTATTTATTTAACTACAAAGATTTATTTTTTGTTGTTTTAGTATGAATGTTTACGTTTCAGTGATAAATATACCTCATGATGGATTAACAATAGGTAGTGCTTGCTAAACACTTCCTTTGATTACCGAGGTTCCCTTTTTATCTTTATTTATGCTACTAATGTATGATTTGAATTTTTTTTAAGCATCACTTATTCACTTAATAATATAGAGAAAGCTCCGGATGTCCAAAAATACCTTTATATATTATCAATGTACTGGGATGTTAAATTATTACTTATTATTATTCATATATTTAACTATTAAATATTTTATTAATTACGGATTTAGTTTTTATTGTCCCATAATTGGTTACCAGCAAAACTGCTGAATCAGGTGTTTCCTTTATTGAGGATATTTTATGCGTCTCATAAAATATTTCTTGAATATGGGAAATATCACTTTCAACAGATTTTAAATAGTAAACAAACTAAATCCTCGGCACATTCCTAATCTCCCGGCGCATTCTTTGAATTCCTTCGATAGTTCCTCCAGATCTCCAGGCAAGTAGGCGGCGCAACCATCTGACAAAACGTCAACGGTGTTCCCGTTATTTAACGTGCAGCTCCCACTTCTTCAGTCTTACGTGTTCTGTGGCTAGACGGTCGGTAGCTTATAAATGGTGAAAGGGCAAAGCTAGTTAAATGTGGCGCATTCACCATTTATGGAAATGATGTGTTGCAATCATACGAAAAATTTTCCTGGAAATGATCAGGAGCCTCTGGAGCGTCAAAACGCGAAGTTTGGGCATTTTTTCTTCGTTCTTCATCCGTATCTCTGCCGGCACTGAACATATTTTCAAAAATTACGAAACTTTTTGGTCCTTGGCATAGTAGCGATCTTCTGTCAAAATTAGGTGAACATCTGAGTGGTACTTTCTAAGTTATAGAGAGAAATGTCTATCAATACCTCATTCACAAATAAATTTGATTTTTTCTGATTTTCAGAAATTCCCAAAATTTTCAAAATATTTTGATGTTTCAAAATTCTTAAGGTTCTCATATTTTTTCATACATTTCACTCACAAATAACGAAAGATGCATCAATAGGTCCTTCCCTTTGAACTGAAACAAAGACAAAAAGTCGCAATTTAATTTGAATACGTAACGACGGAGAAGCAGTCCCTCGCACTCGATTTCTTAAAAGACAAAAGTACCAGGATTCACACATTTACACCTAGCCGCCTTTCTGACAGACGAATATCCCTTAATTGTTTGCATTATTGCCCCTTTTCCCTTCCTTTTTGTTCTGCTCGACTGTGATTCCGACACTAACGAACTGATTCCACTCATTTAGGAAAAACAAGCGAAGCCGGCAGCTTCAAGCGTGTAATCAGCGCCCTGGCACGATTACCTTCACCTGCACCGTTGCCATTGCTGAAGAAGGTTAAATCGTCATGCGGTTACTGAAACCATTGATCGACGTATTTTAGCTGAGGATAGCCAACCTAATGCTACACTTTCGCGTCAAAAAATTTGTCGAAAATAACATTTTGAAGACTCAAAATTTTCATTATTTCAAAAATTTTAAATTTTTTCAAAGATTTCAAAATTTCCGGTTATTTCAATATTTTCGAATGTTTTCAAAATTTTTCGAAATCACCAAAATTCTGAAAATTACAAATTTTCCGGAAAAAGACGGAGAAACCGAATTTTCCAAAATATGTTTAATCTTTTCCTGACTTTATTTGTAGCTATATTTCAAAATAAATTCCACATCAACATTGCCTCTTTTCTCCTCTACAAGGTGGCATAATTAGAATTTCAATATGATGTTTCGTCTCTTGTTCATCAGCATCAACTTTATTTTTTCTTAAGGACGCCATACTACATTTTTGCATAGATGAATAGAGTTTTTAATTCTGATTTCAAAAATGTATCTTTGTTATACGTTGGCGTTGCATTATTTCCTAAGTAAGCCTTGAAATCATCAGATCTTTCTATTTCCTTATAATTTTCATTGATACAACAAATTCATGATCTACTAAGGTCACTGAACTAGCAAGGACTAAAATCGACCGTTATATGTACAAAATTCCATTATAGCGTCCATATGAAAAACAAAGCAGCAATTATGTACTAAACTCCTATTTAAATTAAGTACGAAAAATTTCCTTATCCTTCTTCAAGAAATAACGTTTTTGCCACAAAAAAACGCTCCAATAGCTATTTTCAACAACAAAATGATAAACAAACCATGGGCGTGGTGAAGAAGAGCACTTATTAAGTAAATTCTTTTAGTCAAATTTCTTCTGAAAGTAGTACAAACTATACTAAGTGACATATAAATCCGAACACCCAGTTTAAATGGTTTTATTTTAATAAAAGTTGGTGAATGTATTTATCTTACTGCAAATAACAAGTGAAAAAATTTTCAGCCTTATCAGTTGGACATTCCGGTTTTTATACTGCTTTTTTTTAATTCACTAACGCTCTAAAAATGAATATTTCAGCCGCAGTAAAGAATCAACGTTGGCGGATTTTGGTTCTTGACATCCTTTACGATCGGTTACGATGCCTAGAGTACGGAGACCTGTACGATTTCGTCAACTTAGTGAGTTTGATAGGGGCCGTATAGTGGGACTTCGGGAAGCTGGACTTTCTTTTCGGGCAATTGCAGTTAGAGTGCAAAGAAGTGTAGACACTGTGGTTAGGTGTTGTCAGGCATGGCTTCGAGAAGGCCGTACGCAAAGAGCAAGGGGCACTGGACGCCGCCGTAGAACAACAGACCGTGAAGATCGCCGCCTAAGATTATTGGCCTTAAGGGACCGTATCTCCACTACCAGGTCCATTGCAAATGAATGGTTTGCAGAACACGGAAGACGTATTGGCATGCGAAGTGTTTACCGACGAATGAGAAGTTTTGGCTTGTTTTCATACCGGCCACACTGGATCCTCCCTTTAAATCGAGAACACCGACCTAATCGCCTTGAGTGGTGCAGACAACGGTCACTCTGGGATCAGGAATGGAACAGTATTGTCTTTAGTGACGAGTTTCGATTTTGTTTAGGCATGCACGATGGTCGTGCCAGGGTTAGAAAGCGACGTGGTGACAGGAGGAATCCACAGTTTTTTGTTGAAAGACATGTTCATCACACTGTTGGAGTTATGGTTTGGGGTGCTATAGCTTATGGTTCCAGGTCACCTTTAATCTCCATCAGAGGTAACATGAACGCGCAGCGTTATATCCACGAAGTTCTAGAACCCCATCTTTTACCCTATTTTGACACCCTGGCAGATCCAACTTTCCAACAATATAATGCCCGACCACATGTTGCAAGAGTCACAATAGACTTCTTTCAATATAATGATGTCACATTGTTACCATGGCCATCAAGATCTCCCGACTTATCCCCAATTGAGCACGTGTGGGATATGATGGGTAGGAGATTGCTCAATTTGCAACGTCCTCCTTAGACTCTAGAAGCACTTCGAGAGGAGTTGGTGGTTGCCTGGAATGAGATACCACGGGAGGACATTGACCACCTGATCAGAAGCATGCTTAGGCGCTTTGGAGAGTGCGTAGCACATCAGGGTGCATCCACACATTATTAAAGGTCAAAGGGCTTTAAAGCAGTGCAATCATTTTGAAATTTTTATCATTTACTTATTATGCTTCATTAAGTACTTATACAAAATTTTATTAAAATAAAACCATTTAAACTGGGTGTTCGGATTTATATGTCACTTAGTATATATATATATCCTTCAATTTCTTTGGGTAGAAAGCAAAGTATTGCAAAAGTAAACTCTTATAACTTAAACTCTCAAGCTTTCGAAGATCTATGTCTTCATCGTCTGGAGCTGGAAACAATTATTAACAGTAGCAACAAATAGCAATTGGGAGAAAAATATTTACTTACTAAGTCGACTATGTGTTCCCTTCACTGTTGTCTTAAAAAAAAATTCAGCAACAATCTCGCCGTGTGTCCCCCTCGAAAACAAAATCGACGGGTCTGAGCGTTTTTAAAAAAAAAAAACTGAGCTGCCCGTAAATGCATCTGTTTCGTTTTCGATGCGCCACCCTGTATATTTAACATACAAGACAGCCTTTGCATTTTTCAAATTTTCAAAATTTTCTAAAGTATCAAAAATCTCAAAATTTTCAAAATTTACAATATTTTCAAAATTTGCAATATTTTCCAAATTTTCAGTATTTTCAAAATTTTACATGTTTTTAAAATATACCAAATATTCAAACTTGAAATGTTTTGAATTTCAAAAATTAATAAAACTAGCAACATTATCTAGAATTTCAAGCATTTCTGAATTTTTCAAAATTTTCAATCTTCCAAAAATATTGAAAATTAGCAAAATTTTCAGTTTGCAAAATTTCAGAAATTACGCATTTTCAATTTTTTTCCAATAATACTTTTTTCGTATATCTTATCTTGAATGTTCTACAGGGAAGCGTTATTGTTTCTTAAAAAAAACCGGGAATAAATAATTTCTCAAACGGCATTCAATACGCTCTTACGAAAATCCTGCGACACCTGCCCCGAGTCCGTCCCTGTGCCCCCTCCACTCGTTAGGGAATGTTTACAAAGATCTGGCTATTCATCGCAGTGTGCCATTGTCGATTCAAATTTGTCTCGGCCGCTGCGATGAGTGTCATCGAGAATTGATTTACAGTTTGTAGTTTGCGAATCAAATTAGCCTGGAACTGGAAGCTTGCTCGTTGCGTGTGAATTGTATTTGGGACATAGGCTTCCGCGTCTGTGTCTGGAATTCTCAATAATGGACGAAATACTATAGTTTTTTATCAGAGTATATTTTTCAGATGGTTTTTGATGCGCTGAAACTGAATCCGTGGTGATAATTTCTCAATTGACTCCGGTTTCCAGGATATCCTAATCTAAAAATGCAACCATAAATTCTATTTCACAAGTATCCATCGCGTTTTGACGT